CCAGCTCCTCCAGTCCTCGGGGCTCATCATTAGGGTAAGATGTCGCGAGGCCCGTCTAGCACCAGGAAACCCTACGTCCGTCTCCTGAGGGCATAGGCCTCATTCCCGACACCTCCCGTCTCCTGAGCCCGGGGTCTGGAGGATCTCGCCCCGTCACCCTTGGACCTCCATGTTTCGTTTGTTTCGTGTGCTCCCCCCTCCCAGGGATTTTAACTTTGTCGCGTCCCAGGATGGATTTCCAGTTGATGGACTTTCAGACCGTGCTTTGACCTGCCCTTGGACCCGTTTTGATTTGGATGCCGTTTGGCTTCCCCGTACACTGTCTCACGGACTGTCACTATTATTTTGTGCACTATTAAACCCCTGTGTGTTCCTTTTTACCACGCCTCCTGTTTTCTCCAGCTCTTACCACATCGCATAGGGTCTTCTACAAGATCTGACACGGATTCCAGTCCGTGTCCGTTACACCTATTGGCTCACAAAAATTAAATTAATCATAATTACCATGTACTATATATAATTTCTATATTGTACTAGTACTGTTTCTTAACCATATAAAGAAACATTATAAAACAAAATGCTTAACTGGAAAAAAAAAACATTTGGTTATACTGAATAAAGCAAATGCAATTCCCGCTCTTAATAACAATGTCCTCACACAATACCAGCCTTTCCTTTAGAATGGTTTTGTTGCAATTCATTGTTAATTGTATTATTTAAGCCTTCACAGTCAAGTTATCATTGTGAAACATTGAAAGCTTAATAAACTAATCCAGTTTACCTTTAATTTAATCAATTTAATTGTTTCCCCAGTTGTAGACCTTTTATTTGTAATTGGCTGACGCTTTAATCCAAACCAAAAAGTACTGTGCTCAATGGTACAACAGTTCCTAACCAGGATTTCAATGCATACCCTCCCAGCTGTGAGTCAATAACCCTAACCACTGTTTCATACTGCTGTCTAATCTAAACAGACACAGTCCATTCCTAACTCAAAGAACAGAATCTGGGAATACTTCAGGTACAGTTGGTTGTTTCAATAGCTTGGGTTTGAAACATATTTATAACCAAAAACATTCCCTTCATACTCATTCTCAGAGATCCCCAAGTTAAAACTCTTCATCAGGGCAATAACGAGGTGATATCTGAAGTTCATACCTGTAGCTCTCTTGTGAAGGCTTACCAGGACCGTTTTCCAACACTGGGAAAACAGCATGTGCTTCAGCATTGTGGGAGCTCCCTAGAAAACATACATCTTAGTTTACTGGTGATTCTGCATTGTCATCAATCTGACAATATAATTACAGTAACTGCTCTACAAGACAAAATTACAGTAAATTACCTCATTGAAATCAAAACTGATTAGAAAATGTGAGAAACCTCATATAACATGTATAAGGGGTCGACAACCTAAGAAGGGACCTGCAATGAGTTAGCTCATGCACTTTATTTTATTTGCTTCCCATTGATACTTTTGAAATATCAATACAAAAATAATATTAAAATCTCATAACATCTAAAACTCATAAATGAATATGCACATCTTACTATTTATGTGGATGCATTCGATAACAAAACTGAACTCTGGAGCTCTTCAAATTACACTTTTTCCAACATTTAGTCCAAAAAATTATTTTAATACTTTCTACAGTATGAAATCTGTTATGTCATACACAGTTATATTAATGCTTGCCTGAATTTACTAATAATTTGTAGTAAGAATACATTGCAAGGATTAATTACTATATCTATATTTTATTAGCTATTAATTAGCTGTCTTTTTCTTTTGACAAATCTTAATGATAATTAAGATAATGAGTTCATTTATTATAAACACATAAACAATTACATAGATTAACTCCTACAACAGTATGATCAGAGTTCATCCAATATACGTACTCTTAACCTTCTTTTAGCTAATAAGAGGAGGCCATTTGATCCAGCTTGCTCATTTGATAGCAGCTAAATCGGAGGATCTCATCAAGCCTTTTCTTGAAAAAGTCATAATGTCACACATTTGAAGTGTAGAACTGTAAAAATTCCCTCTGTCTTTAAATGATATAGGGTTGTGTTCACAGTTGGCAGTTCAGGATGGTGTGTAAAAAGCAAGGAATCAAACAGTATAACAGAACAAATCAGTTTATATATAACACTTTTATGCATGTGCAAGCTTCTTCACACTTTTAGGAGGTACTAAAATGTATATTTTTATTCAGGTGAATGAAAAATAAATAGAAAGCAAAATTAGTGTATCATAATGAAACCCACCGAGTCTGTACTGAAGCTTGATTGGTCGTCCATACAAACAGATCCCATTGAGAAGTGCAATGGCATATGGCACCGCCTCTCTGTGTTTGTAACACACAAAACCATAGGATCTCTGCCTCCCATCCTTGTCTTTAGCAATGGTGACTTTTGTCAAAGGCCCAGCCTGACAAAGACACTACAATCAGCAAAAGAACAACCAACTCTACCCAGGAAATATACTAATAAACAACCAGTGATATTCTTAAGACAGGGCCAAAAGACTATGGCAAAGCACAAACTGCCATACCCCAATTACAGTGCCCCTTAACTATGGTAAAACAAAAAACATAGGCTATCATGTGCTCACACTATGGCGTCCAGTTACAACTCTAAAGCACAAATACTCAAGTGTCATCCCAGTGAATTTAATATGGCATAGAATCTACAGTGTCCAAACACAATGGCAAAGCACAGAATGTCAAGTGCTCATTACGCTGCCCAGTAACTAGAGTAAAGCACTGTATATAGTATATGGTAAAACAAAGAATATCATGTGTGCATTACACCACCTAGTAACTATTTTTTTTTTTTAAATCCTGTGTTACCTACACTGCCTAGCAACTAAAATAAAGCAAAAAATACCGTGTGGTCTCTATAATCCAAGTGATTGAGGTAAAGCACAGAATGTCATGATTTCACTAAAATGCCCAGCAGCTTTAAATATTATTTAAATATCAATACAGTTCCCTGTGGCAATAACTGAGGCAAAGCACAACATTTGATGTATTCCCTACAGTGTCCACTGGTATTAACTATAATAACAAAAAACAGAATATAATGTCTTCAATACAGTGACAAATGTGTATGGTAAAGCACAGGTGTTGTAATGTGTTACCTACACTGCCCAGCGTCTAAAATAAGGAAAAGAATGTGCTAACTATAGTGTCCATTGACTATGGTACAGCAAAAATGTCATATTATATATCATAATATAAATATTAAATTAAATATTAAACCCAATGGAAGAATGATAAAACATAGAAAATCATGGCTCAATGCATAGAGCATTAGTCACTGTACAGTGACTATAGCAAAGCAGATTACTATATATCATGTTTTTATTCCAGTACACAGTAACTATGATAAATAACACAATGTCATGTTTTCACTATGCTACCCAGTAACTACAGTACAGCACAGACTGACGTGTGTATTACAGTTCTTATTACCTTCGGTATAACACAAAGTGTTCACTACAGCAAAACAGAATCCCAAGTACTCTAGGTATTATAATCACAAGCTGTGTTCTGTACTCATTACAATACTCAGTGACTAAGGAAACACACAGGATGTCATGTATTCCCAGTGGTAATAATTATGGTAAAAAACAGATGATCATGGGTTCTGTATGCTGTTCATTGGCAGGAACTATGGTAAAGTACACATGATATGTTTAAATAGTGTAAAATGAACATGATACAGCACAAAATGTCACATGTTCTATACAATGCCTAGTGACTTTATTAAAACACAGATTATCATGAGTTCAATACAGTGAAAAATGAGAATGGTAAAACAGATAATGTAATGTTCTCCCGTCAATACCACGAGGACATAGTAAAGCAAAAATGCCACGTACAATGCCCAGTGACAATAGTAAGTTGCACGATGTTTTGTACTCACTACACTGCCCAGTAATCATGATAAAGCACAGAATGTTGTGTTCACCACAGTTCACAGTAACTAGGGTAAAACATAAATGTATGTGTACGGTATGTTTGGTAAAGCATAAAGTAAAGTTTTGTTATGTATGTTTTGTAAAGAAAAACTACATAATTAAAAAATCAGTTGAGGCTGAGAAAAGAATTCCACAAATCATTTAAATAAAGTTACCAAAACTGGTACAAGGTTTCAATCATGTAATTAATTTTTGCAAATTAATAGATGTTCCTGAGATTTACTACTCATCTTCCAGAACATCAAATAAGCTTTCCATACATAGAAAATGAGAAAACTTTGAAAAGAAAATAAATAGAAAATATAGGACAAATGGAGTCTACCCCTACAGCATCAAAATTTAGAAACTAAGGAAGTCTTCTATATGTTTACCTCGGGTGTTTTTAAGAGTATGTCTGGCCTTTTTCTTCTCTAAATAATGAAATGTTAAAAACTGTACGGATTAAGACCTTAGAAGTATGAATATATTACAATGCATACATTATACAGTATAGGTTAACTCGATACTGACAATAACGCCGTTTTTGTTTTACAACTGAAATATTTTAGAAAGCCGATCTGTACTAAAACGTATTCGTAACTCAGATTACACTAACGGTGGTGACCAGGCGTGATTCATCCTGCACCGTGGCACGGACACATTTCACCTTCATCACATACTGTATCACCGACACACCTGCAATGTATCTGAGAAACCATTAACCATCATATCAACACCCAGGTTGCTTGCAAGATGCATAGCAAACGTATCATGTGCAATACCTGCAAAAAAAGCTCGAACAGAATTTCCTCTCTTACTGAGCTGTCTAAGTTTCCCACAAATACGGTCTTCTCAGCTTCATTGTAGCTATTATACATGGCAAACATCTACTAATGCATCTAAAAATGTACAATAAATTTGCTAAGGATCTTTTAACAGCTAAAATCACGACAACCAAACCTCCTCCAGATACCGAAGAGATGGCAGTGTGCTGCTGTCGTAAACTATACCCTTGCACATACCATTGCGACGTTGAAATACATCTTTAACCCTCCAGAGGGCGAAACATAACTGCTTAATAGCAATCAGCTTTTCTGGAAAAAGTAAAGGTTCATACTACTGTATGCTGAAAACTAATGAAAAGAAACATTTCGGCTGTGGTGTTCCTGGTTGGTTTTGTCCTTTAGAATACTTAGTGCTTTGCCTAGAACTTAAAACGATATGGTATTTGTTTTTTGTGTCTTGCATAAAACAAATTGTTTTTTAAAGACTTAAAATGTAGAATGTGAAAATAGTTGTACACAGCTTCAAATTATTTTTTTAAAGATAAAACCTGCCACGAGGGGGACAAAATGCCTGTGTGAGGGAGAGCATCAAGAGTGCAGAGGGGGCTAATTCAGTTCAGCTGTTAGAATCTGTTACTGTAACTGTAACTTAATCCTCAATAATCCTTTAAAATAAGTCTGAAAAGTTTCCTGTTTGAACTACAAACTTATTCATCCTGAAGAAGATTGCAGAGAAAAAAGAAAGCCAACATAAAATGTGCAGGCTATTTAAAACATTTTAGGTCTTGGAATGAAACACAAAATTCAATAACCGGTTAAGTCCAAACGTATTAATACTGTATGTACATCAATACAGAATTTGCTCATAACTGTACAAATACAACAATAACAACAACAACAATAATAATAATACTAATTTCACAGCTGAAGTTAAAGGGAGCAGGGCATTTAAATTTAGACTGGCTCATGTTCATGGTGCTGGTTTTGCTGGCCCACACCACACTGACGCTTTGGAATCTTTGCTGCATTAGATAGCTTCTGTCTCATAAAGGCTTTGATTTCTGTATGAGTCTTGTCAGGGAACACAGATTTTACTTCAGCTATCGAGAGAAAGAGAACAGAAAAATATTATTTACCTTAACAAAATATTCTAAATGATTATTTCAGAATATAACCTAAGCCATCAACACTCACCAATTATAGCTTCAACTTCTTCTCGGGGCAGGGGTGGCCTTATTTCGCTGTTAGATGAAGAGACCAGGACACAGTGAGATGCCATGTATGCTGTAGTGTACAAGCCATTCATCAGATCATTTTTGTATTTTGCTGCAGTTGCCCGGGAACAGCGATCCCTCAATGTGATGAGCTGTACATTTTATAGAGAAAGACAACATTTGGAGAACAGGTGTGAGGAAACAATTGAGCTACCTGTGTGTGCTTAGCTGTAGTACATGTGTGTAGCTTCTACTCAATTAGAAAGCGTTAGAATGGCAAATGGCTTTACACATACCTTAGCTTGTACACCCTGAGGTGTGGACTCTCTTGTGAACTGGCCAATTGCAAGTTTAGTTTTAGTTGCCTAGAAAAGAGTAGAATAGAATGAATAATACTAGAAATACCCAAAATAACCCAAAAGAACACTGTCACATTGAAATAGTTTGTGTTTGTTGTGTATGTGTTTGTGTGTGAATGCCTGCGCATGTGTTTGTGTGAGTGAGCAGTACATCACCCCTCATTTCATCAGAAAATATGCTAGCTGACATGACAGCTTGATAAATGTGAGAGGTTTTAATTGCATTTCACAATGTAAGATGGTAAAAGAGGGATGAAATGAAGGAATATGTTACTTACTTTTTCTGAGTGAGCAGGGGGAGGCTGGTTGAGGCTAGGGGTGCGAGCAGGAGGCAGAGAGCAGGGACAGTCCTTGAAAAGAAGAGGAAGTGTACTGATGTGTGGTGTTTGGTGTTTTGTGGTAGAAGTATGGGGAGAAGGAGTTTGGGGACATTGTTCCTGGAAAAGATCTGAAGTTAGGGGAGCCGAGAGGGATGAAATTAAATTCTTCAATGAAGACACCATCTCAGGCAAATCTGAAATTACATTTGGAAGATAATCACAGTAAATTAATGTCACACTGGCTACAGAAACATTCATTATAGCTTGTTTTTATCAGCTGATATGACTGTATATGATACTGAACAAATAAACAAATAAATAACATACCTCTAAACATACTTAATGCCTGTCTGAGGTTCATATTTTCCTCCTCAAGTTGTTTTATTTTGACTTTAAGACTTTGCACCACCATGTTTTTTTCTTCTTCATCCTTCTTTTGTTCACAGGCCTGTTAGGTAAAATATATGCCTTTACTCAGTGGCCTGTGACAAACGATATTACAATAACATAATATTTCTAGTCAATTATGTAGCCTATGGTCAATTCAAAAATGTAGTCACACATGCCGAAATAAAAAAATATAAACCCTATCTGTCATGACAAACAGTATGAAGTTCCAAGGACTACAAAGCTGTATCAAGTAGCTTATTTATGTTTCAATGTTCATTTGTTTGTAAATTATTTATTAACTGAAAACCTTACAGTAAACATCCTTGAGATCCTTATTCCATTTGTTTGTGTTTCTGTAGCCTAATTCTAACCTGTGAGATAGGTATGAATCTATGCTCAGGCTTTGCGTGTCTGCAATATGGCGACAGTTAAACATCTGTATCTTATTAGAGAGGTTAATTACAGTTCTTACAGTTCATTCAATTGTATGTGTTTTATCTATCACACTCAGCTACAGTATACTGTATGTATACAGTATATGTATGTTTACTCATATTATATAAAATATTTATACATTTATATATAATATATATAAAATATTCTATACTGTATATATTCTATAATATATATGTATATTATATACATGTTAGTAGTTCAGGTGGGTAGCTGCGTCAGCATGCGTAGGCTGCAAAGGAACAAGTAATAGGTTTATTCCATGCTGAAAAAAAGAAGAAAGAGAACACAATGTTTCGGCCATGGAGCCTTCTTCAGGTGTGAGAGAGACAGGGCAGTAGGCAGAGGTAAAGTAGCGGGAGAACAAAGGTTGGAAGGGAGGAGGAGTGAGAGGCAGGAGCAGGGGACAGAAAGAGAGGCCAATCAAGAGGTTTGAAGTCAGAATGGGTGCAGAGAGGTGTGAAATGAAACTTCCAATGAATGGAGAACATTTAAAAGAACAGTAGTCTGTCGTTAAGGGAAAGGAGAATGTGTGATCCTAGCTGCAGAATAATTTTAGTTTCGGTGGTCTTTCTGATGTATGAGTTCAAAAAAACGTCTTTGAGAACACAGACGGAGAGATTAGAGTGGTCGTGGCCGTCAGAGGTGAAATGAGAAACAATGGGCTTGGAGAGATCTTTAATCTTCACAGCCCTGACGTGTTCTCTGAAGCGGTCTCAGAGTCTCCCTCCTTTTTCTCCAATGTAGATGGCTGGGCATTTACTGCAAGAGATACAGTAAATAAGGTTGCTGGAGGTACAAGATGGATTTGTCCTGAGGGGCCTTGAATGAGTGTGGTGGTGGCTGTGTACTTGCAGGTGATACAGTGAGCTCTGTTGCAAGGGAAAGTGCCTGGTGTGGATGGTTGTTGAGGGCAGTCAAGGGAGCTGTGAACCAGGAGGTTACGCAGATTAGGTGGCCGGCGATATGAGATGATAGGGCGATCAGAAAAGAGGGCCCCAGTGGAGGGATCATCCTGTAGGATGGAAAAGTTGTGGTTAATGGTCCTGGGGATAGGTAGTGTGTTAGGGTGGTAAGGAAGCACCAAAGGAATGCGGATGTTACGGCGGGAGTTCCCGATCAGGTTGATGGTCCGGGGGGTGTTTTTGGCTCGTGAAAGGGCCCGGTCAATCACACTGCTGGGGTATCCTCTGTTGATGAAAAATAATCAATGGGCTTGGTTCTCTAAGTCGATGTCGTCGCTGCATAATCGTCGTAACCTAAGGAACTGTGAAAAAGGAAGAGAGTTTTTAGTGTGGTTGGGGTTAGTGATCTTTCGGGTTCTTCAAACATTGCTAACTTAAAGGAAATAGACCTACGTTAGTAAGGGTAAGCCAGTAATCAATAATTATTTTAACTATTTTAATTAATTACACCTAGCTTGAATAGAGTTACTGATCATTTCCAGTAAAGTTAGCTAACTCTTTAGACGATGACCCATTAGTAGTAGCCTAAGGTTCGTTGTATAGGGTTAAGTTACAGAGTGACATCTCCTACAGATGACAAGGCTGAACTCATTAAACTCATTAACTCATGAACTCATTAAAATAAGTACAGAAGAGATGTCAGAGGAATTCATATTAAGAAGAGAAAAGTGTTTAACAATGAATCCACCGAGGTACACTAAGTTTTAAACAAATATTTAATGTTAACGTCACCTACCACTTTATTAGAAACACCTACTGTACCTTGTACCTACACTCACTGGCCACTTAATTAGGTAGGCAGATGAGCTATAGTCTCTAACTGTGTCACGGAAGTCCAAAGGGACTAACCGTGGGGAGCAGGAGAGCGGAAAAAGACCCATATGCGTAGCGGCAGAATGGGAAAAAGGCCCGGGCTCATTAGTGCAAAGAGTTCAGGAGTGCTATATAGAAACCTATGCCCTCAGGTAGCGGACGTGGGGCGACCTGGTGCTAGGCGGGTCTCAGGACATCCGAACGTCAATGCTGAGCGAGGGCAGAGTGCAAGACCCGGAAATATATAGCCCAAGGGAAAGAGAGGGACCAGAAGGACAGCAGGCAGGAAACTAGGGACAGGACAGAGAAGAAACGCCCTCTGGCTGCAGAGGGCGTGACAAACTGTATACCTACAAGGTGTTTCTAATAGGTAGGTGTTTCTAATAAAATGGTCAGTGAGTGTAAATGTAATGACTTACATCCAGTTTTGTTCTCAGGAGAGTGCACCATCAAAAAAGAAAAAAAATAAAGCCCTCATTGAACTCTTGCAGAACCATCTTGCAGAAGTATAAAGAAGGTCAATATCAGGTGATTGAATGGACCATAGGCTACATAATTGACTAGAAATATTATGTTATTGTAATATCGTTTGTCACAGGCCACTGAGTAAAGGCATATATTTTACCTAACAGGCCTGTGAACAAAAGAAGGATGAAGAAGAAAAAAACATGGTGGTGCAAAGTCTTAAAGTCAAA